ATGGCTTCTTTCACTCCTCTTTCAAACCATCTGTCCTCTCTGTCCAAAATGTGAACATTGGCATCCTCGAAAGAGTGTCCTTTATCCTTAAGATGCAGATGGACTGCTGAGTCTTGTCCTGTGGAGGTGGCTCTCCACCATTTGACCTTAGAACTGAAGAAGCTTCTCGGATGAGAGGTGAAATGTCTTCAAGTAACTTAAAGAAGTCCAGACGCTTTTCTTTGCAAGCTCCTTTGTCTGAGAGACTTGTTATGGTCCATGAAAACATCACTTGACCCTCTTCAGATTGTGGCAGGTAGATTGATTGCATTGTCGACTCTCATATTTGGTCTCTACATAAGCCTTGCTTCCATCTAGATGCTTGCTGAGGGTCATCTTGTTTTATTTATCAAGTTTAACACAATTCAGTCAGATTAAGAGAGACTTACAGGAAATGTTAGTAAACATCTCAGGATCTCATGTATCACAGTCTAACTGACAAACTGCAGTATGTGAGATAGTTTGTCTAATGTTCAATACAACAACTCCAAGGGGAACTTTTCTGCGTCTATTCTTGTTGTCCTTGTACACATCCCACTTAAAATCAGATGTAAAAATCTGGCTCATGACATCGACAGAAATACTGATTTTTGTAGTGATTGGATATGTTGGGAACAAGAGGAGTACACAGGACTGGTGGATCATTTTGTGGAGCAGAGAAATGGTTCTCTGCTTCTGAATGTGGAAAAGACCAGAAAGGTGATGGATTTCTAAACGAAGATGGTGGCTACACGTCCCGTGTCTATCGTAGGACAAGATGCCGCTGTGGTGCAGGAGTTGACATCCAGATACTTCTACATTAAAAGGCTGAATTGGAAGACCAACACAGAGGCTGTATACAAGAAGGGGGTGAGCATCCTCTATTTCCTAAGGGAGCTGAGACACTTCAGTATGTGCAGCAAAGTGCTGGAGAATTTCTGTCAGTTTCTTGTGGAGAGCAGAGTGGAGCTGGTGATGCCAACAGACTGAATAAACAGATTAGGAAGGTTAGTTCTGTGACTGGCTGCAAACTGGGAGTCTGAAATACTACAACTATATACATTTTGTTGTTGTTTGTTTTCTTTTCTTGATGAAGTCAACTGCTGTAACAAGAATTTCCTAAGTATTTAAGATTGCTTTTTAAATCCAATGTTTCTAAGCGATTATCAGATAAAAATGAGCATTTCATGGTTCTAGGCCAGCCTGCCAGCTTCCTTTTTACTTTATTAGGCTCCTCTGCTCACCTGGTAAGAGTTCACACACTAATCGTAATTATACTATCTACTTCAACTTTAGATTAGTTTAGCAAATTCACAGATCTCTGTTTAGGAATCACTGACTTACAGTGACTGGGCTCATTTGTCTCCACAGACGGAGGGTTTCCGGTATCCCCGGCCCTACTCGGTTCCACCCTCTCCTTCTGCCTCTATCCATTCCACGCCCCACCACAGTGATGTTGAGGATGAAGATGATGAACCCTATGATGAAGATGAGGAGGCCGAGAGGGACCGGATGAATATCAAATCTCCATTTGTGCTCAATGCTGTGCCAGAGGGGAAGAAGCAGCAACCAGGAGAGTCAAGAAACTGAAATGCTCCAGAGTAGCTATGGCCTTTACAGTTGGATGGACTTGACAGACAAATGTGTGCGGGGGGAATCACTGCCTGGTTAGCCCCGCAGTCTACACCACAGTAATGACGACCCCACATCATCACCTTTTGTTAACAGTTGTTACTTATTCTGCTGCCAGGCAATAAAGTCCACCCTGCATAACAAACTTTTTATAAAGTTTGTTGAAAGGTTAAATCTAAGTTCATCATCTGTCTTCAAATGCTAGCTTGCCAAAATAACTTTAGTCAAGCAGAGTCTGAAAATGCTAACTGAACATTACAGTTATTTAAAATAAACTTGAGTAGAACAAAGTGTCTGTCACAGGCTTTCCATTCGTTTGTTTGCATGAAGCAATAGTAGAGGGTTGTGCTTTAGGAGAAATTTAGAATAAGCAATGAATTTGACACTGTAGCCTTCATTTTAATTTTAGTAGACTATTTTTCAGATTAGGGAAAGCAAAACCAAAAACGATGACATGAGACAAGGGACTGTCAAAGTAAAACAGGAAGTGTAACACAGAGATGTGGACTTTACACTGAACAAAGGGAACACTGAGCTAATCTGAAGCCGAAAAGTTGAGGTTGGAAGGTCTGCAGCATTTGACTCTGCAAAAATTTGGTTACATCTCTAAACTATGGGTCTCAGTATCCACTGACTTTTTGTGATTGGACTTGTTGCACAAGTGACATTTGGAATCACTAGGATGATGCAGCTACCACTTCACATTTAAAGAAGAAAGTGATGGGCGAAATCTAACGACTACTTATTGCCCATTTTTAAAGTACACAATTTTTACAGTGCACTTTGGTGTTACCACACACCTCTACACAGTAGTTTAAATATGGCAATATAAGGGAACAAACTACATGACGTGATTTGATTCAAAAGACACTTTGCTTCACTCTGGACTGAAATGGTTTGTATATGTTTTGAGTTTTCCAAGGTAATCTTGTGGTCTAATATCGCAAACATTCTGATGTACTCTATTTTATTATTTATCATCACGTTTACACTTATCTTTCCTTGAATTTCCAAGTAACCTAATTTCAGTTTTGTTTAAATTCTTGATTCATATTTTTGAAATCTGGAGCTTCTTGATTTTTTGTTTTACAGGGATTGATTATATACCTGAAAAATAACACTGACCATAAAAGTAGAAAATTTGCCCCAAACAGTTTCAATGAAACTCTTTTTATTAAAACATCACATTTCATATTTAGAGAATTTATATTTACAGCTTCCTTTCCCCCCACACAGAACAAATCAGAGGTTGTTGTCTGGCAATGATACAAACATTAGAAATATTCCCTCTTCCACACTGGTAGCTCCTGGATATACACCTCATCTGCGTTTTCATCAGCTAGAAGAGAGGAACGGTAAAAGAAAGTATGGAATTGAAATTGAGCAAAAAGAAGAACAAAACACACATTTTGAACTAAATGCCATAAGATTTGAAATCTTTATTTATTTTTTTCCCCCTATTATTGCCTTTTCAGTACAATCTGAAGTTGATTCGAACTGGAACAAATTAAAAAAAAATTCAACCTCTTTTCTTTATTAAGGCATAAAGGCAAATTTGTGTCGCAAAAAACCATAAAACTGCAATGACACAGCCATGCTTCAACTACCATAGTTCCCACAACTTGAACTCTAACACCTAAATCATCTGTTTTCTCACAGAGATATTAAAGGACAGTTAATCATTTTTTTTGTATATTTGGTCGGAGTTGCACTATGACAGTGTACGGTATATGAGTTACCCAGTCAGCTCTAGAAATATCTACTTTGTCTCAAAAACAGCTGAAGTGGCCATCATGGCATCTTGTGATGCTCAAAGCATGAAAAACATACATTTGGAAAACGTATATATAACCCATAGGTCCAGATTCTGCTCTCACCTCCCTCTCTAGCCTGCTGTAGGAAATTAAGCAGAACAGTAGCAGCCTGGTCCACAGTCAGCTTCTCTGTGTTCTGACTACGAGTCTCTGACAATCAAGAAAACACAACACATAGTCCTGAAGGTGATTGCAGGTCAAAGTCCTCCATGAAAACCACTTACTGTGTATAAACATGGAAAGTTTATTTATTTTTTGTCTTTCTTTTGAATAATGAAAGTTAACTCTGTGAGGCCTAAGTCACCATCAGTGTTTACCATAAACTCTGTGCAATCAAAATGTCCCCCCCCCAAACACACATATCAAAAACCATTTTAATTTTTTTCAAGAGGCTATTTTGCTTTCAAATTAGAATTAGAGTTATGGTTATCACCAATCACTAAAGGTTCTTTACATTTTTTTTTTTAATTATTCATTTGTTATTACATTTTACAGGATACTTTATTGTACCTAGGTGAAGAGTGTCGTAGACATCTCCTTCTTTTCGGTCCTCTGAGATGAACCTTCTTCCCTCTGAAAAAATGTTTTTAAAAACAACTTTATGGTTTATTTACATAACTAAATAAATAAACAGCTAAATGGTGACAGTAAATGTTTATTGTCACCCTGTTCCTATTATGTCAGTAGCTAGATACATACGGGTGCCCTTGAGGTACAGCATAGCCTGCGGGGTCCAGTTTCTTCGCTGGAATGAGCCCTTTATAGAAGAAATAGTATTTGAAGCTCAAAGCTGGAGATATTTTTCTGACTTTAAAATATTGTCAGAATATGAATAATTGTTTTGGTAATCTTGTGACAAAGCGGTTCAACAGGGAAAAAAATAATAAAATCAAACCAGCCGTACCTTTGGCGTGCTCCATGACTGGGAGATAAATGTTGCCAGTAATAAAAGGGTGAGTACATACGCTATTGTGACAGTCTTCAAACCCTGTCGGCAAAAAAGAAATGATCAAATCATGATGTCATCAGCATCCTTCATCTTCCTCACAGACCGACTCACTCAGATATGTGCCTTTATATTCACTTGAAGAAATCTTTTAATAATTAACTCAGTAACTGTGAAGCCTCAGTGAAAAATAATGTGTATATGCAATATATCTGTGAATACAAAGAAAAAAGTGAACTTTTAGTGAGGACATCTCCAAAATTACTTTGATATTGCTGATTGATTCATCTGTTAGAAAGTGAGATATTAAAATGTTTAGTTAAGATAACATTTTCCTAAATGACATTTTCAAGAAAGAATGCATTTCACTTTTTTGAGGATGCAAAAAGTCCAGATATCTGAAAAAATTTTTTTCCAATGAAACCTGTTTAAAAAAAAAAGAAATTCCTTCCACCAAAATACTGCAAACGTTTCATGCCTTCCACCTACCTTCATGGTATCACAGGTCCTGTAAGCCGGGCGCCTGCAGAGACGATGAGAGAGTAGAAGGTTCAGGGTAGCTGCTGGTGGTGTTTCCTCTGCCTCTACTTATATCCTCTGTGAACCTTCTGTGCTCTGTCAAGATGCTGCCAGCAATAGGTCATGCAAGTTTGATGGAAAGGGGGCGGTTAGGAGAGTGAATGAATTGTGCCACTAATCGATCCAGTTCCTTTCACAGACAGCTGAAGTCTATTGTAAAATACCTGTGAATTGAATCAAGCTTCTCTAAACACTTCCTGCTCCCCAGGGTGGTTTTTCAAAATTAGTCGGAGCTGCAGGCCATTAATATGAAATGTGGAGCACCCTGGATGTTCATAACAACAGTAATATTCTCCTCTGTGGTAATTTCTGATGTTTGCACCTTGCTTACTGGAGCAGTATACGGAGAGATGTGAGTTCATTTAATGAATCAAAAGGCAACATATCCAGTAATGAAAGGAACAGTCCACAGCCTACAGGAGTGAATGAGTGATGTTCACTGTCAGTAATAGAAGAATCTCACTAACTGCCCTATTTCCCACATTGTAGCTGGTTACTCAAAGATGCCACCAAGCATTTGTGTGCATTTTTTAATATGGTTACACTCATGGGGTGGCTGTAGCTCAGCAGGTCATCTGCTGATCAGAAGGATGGTGGTTAAATCCATGGCTCCCACAGTCAGCATGCCAAATATCCTTGGGAAAGATACTAACCCCAAGTTGCTCTCTGGTGCATCCATCCACGTATGAATGTGTGTGAATGTTAGTTTGAAAGCACTTAAAAGCATAGAAAAAAGTGCCTGTGGATGAATGTGGCATGTTGTATAAAATGCTTTGAGTGCTCTGGGAGAGTAGAAAGGGCTACATAAGAATCACTTCATTTACCATTTACTCAAGGCAAACTATCTGGACTATTCTCTGTAATGTCAGTGCAGCCTGTGTTCAGCCACAAATTCTGCAGTTGCTGTCTCGTGGCTCTCCTGAGCATGACTATAAATGGCAAACACAAATGGACTGGTACTTGCATAGCACCATTCCACTCAGTTAAGTACTTCTAAGACTTTCCAGTGCGATTCCCATTGACCCAATCTCTCTCTCTCTCTCTCTCAAACACACTTTATCTATAAGATAATGTCAATAGAAAATTGTACTTAGTAGTCAGTATAATATTTTAATAATATAAGTTTGCATATGGTAGTGATAGGATGTGCGATCCATAATAGTCTGCAAAGGCTCTGTGTGCATTCCAGAGTGCTCTGGCATTCACACCCACATCCTGGGAGCATGGGAGAGGTCGTACCTTATCTTATTGTTTTATGGTAGGATAAACGTAGCTATGTCAAGTTTTAGTCTAAGTGCTTAGATGAACTGTTGGACTTCCAGACCAGCAAATTTAGGGAAGTCGGTTATGGGGTCACACTCTGACTCCACACACACACACACACACACAAACAAACATCCACATTCCAATGTAAGGAACAAACACCCACTGATGTATAAATAAAAACCAGGGCAGTCTCAGAGCTGCGAGTCCCTGAGCCCTTACTCTCGTGCGAGAGCTCAGAGCTGCCCTTGCTAAGCAACAAGTAAAACTGTGTGTTTCTCCTCTCTGATTCTCAGCTGAAGAAGTGTTTTAGAATATATCTCTTAACAGATAAGATAACTCTTTATTGTCATTGCACAGTCATACCTAGCACAATAGTACAATGAAATTGGGAACTGTCCCACGTTGGCACTACACGCAACGAAACACAAGACAATACAGTAACTTAAAGTGGATTTTTTTTAAGATGCAAGAAAAGGAATGACTTAATAAATGAATGTCTGTTGCACATTATTATTATTATTGCATCCCATAGGATGCTGCGTGCCCTCTTGAGACAGCAAGTGCTGAACAGGTCCTTCAGGGAAGGAAGAGGATGTCCAATGATTTTTTTGGGCCATATTAATGACCCTCTAAAGTGCCTTTTTTGTGTGCCATGGTGCAGCTGGAGAACCATACCGTGCAGTATGTCAGCACACTTTCAGTGGAGCGACGTTGGAAGACGATGAGCAGCTCCATCTTTACAACCGCCGAGGTGTTTGAGCTCCACTGGAGGTCTGTGTCTAACAACTTGAAACTGGACAACGTGCTAACACCTGCTGCTCTCTGGCAGCAGCACCATGCTCTCCC